CTAATTTTGTAATAGATATTTTATTTGAAATGCAAAATCTATGTATAATATGTTGTTGGAATGCATATGTGAATATATAATTTTTTTGTTTTGTAAATGTCATGTCTTGTTTTGGCTAGCCTAAAAAATGAGGCCTAGGAAACATGGTGTGGGCTGGTCCAATATAAATCTACGTGGGTTGGTCCAAATATTTTTTATGTAGGCTCATCCAAAATAGCCCAGAGATAAAAAAAATGTGGGCTGACCCCAATAACATTACGTGGGCTCATCCAAAATAGCCTAGAGATAAAAAGAATGTGGGATGGCCCCAAAAACATTGTGTGGGTTTAGCCTAACCAAGTTGGATTGGGCTGAAATCAATGCAATTGAGAAATAATGGGCTGAAAAACTTTAAAACCAAAAAAGGGTAAGGCTAAAAATCAGCATCAATAGTGTGCTTGGCCCATTATAAGAAGTGACATAAAAGCAATTATCATAAAAATTTGTGACATCAAAACTAATGTCATAGATTTTTGACATGAACATATAAATGACACAAAACATGGTTTAAGGCGCATGATTGGTGACATAAGCTTTTTTATCATTCGGGTCTCATAAATGATAATATGTGACATAAATTTCATATATTATGACAAAAAATAATTTTCAAAGAACCACACATCTCTTGCAGTGTTCCTTCCCTTGGTACACTTTTCTCTATAGAGGCACCTAAATCCTCGCTATATCCACCTCTTCATCACTATCATTGTCATCATCACCACCATTAACAAAAGGATCTGCCTCTGCATCATCATCGTCTGGGGGATGAACCGAAGGAGATATGCCTCTACATCATCCAGGGTAGAGGGTTGAATAGAAGGATCTGGCTCTACATCATGTAGGACAGAGAGTTCAAGAGAAGTTCTTGCCTCATCACCATAAACACTCTGACCACATGCAACTGCAATTGTGTCATGTACCCCCCACATACACAACCAGCCTCCTTAGATCCCATTACATATCAATATCATCCATCAACATGGAGTCAGTAATTAGAGTGGAGTAACATTTTGTTGACCCCAAAAAATCTGAATCAACGGCCGATCAGGACTTGGCCGATGGAGATATCTCATCAACAAACGAAGGCCTTGGAGATTTGCTTTACTCCGATGCTGGACCTGTCGGTTTTGGAGGTTCACGGGCGTGCCAGTCAGTTTGATCCTGCAAACTCAACAAGCCAATGCATTACTTAAAATGTTACAGCACTTGATATCATATCGGCCAGTTAATATAATAGAATCACAATGCTAGCTCGATACAATACTTGATATATGCCCTATCGGCTAAAAAACAAAGTTGTAACATAAATAGCCGATGAACCAACTACCGACACAAATCAAAGATATTCAACATGAATTGTATGGACTATTGGCCAGGAAGCCAATATGTCGTAGGATGCAAACAATTGCAGGTCTCACTATAACCAAACCCATAAACTTAACAAAATCTAATCTAATGTCACCATACCAATCAGGTTGGAACGATGCAGCGTTGGTAGCAGGGCAATAGATTAAAGATTCCAAGTCGATAAATCTTGATATAATAAAATGAACTCTTGAAAGCATACTACGTAAGGCCATGATTAAGATACAACGAGCCAGTAAACGATCTGACGTCAATCAAGATATGATCAAGTTGAAGGATAGCAAGACGACAGACTTATGTGATATGAGCCGATGGATCTTAATCAAGGCAGGATGATTCTATCAAATACAGTAAGAGGTTATGAGATGCAGCCTTATGAGACATAATAGAATCGGTAACTAGGTAGACTAGATGAAATTACAGCAATGCGTCGGTAATTAATGCCTAGATCACCTGATAGAGACGAAGCATGTAGACAAACTGGAGGTCAAGATTGATGCAGCCCCCGTCTATCAAAGAACTCGTCGAGATCTATGATTACATCTTGCTCCTAAGGTTGGCGTTCAACCGATAAAGTAAAATTGTATTGATTGATCCAGAGATATTACAATTGGCCACGCACCTCACAATTTATAGGAGTGTGCCTGGTCTTTGATAATACAGAATAGGACTCTTTTACACGCATGCAGAAAGATCACGTATCTATCTTGCAAGCAAAATTGAATATAATATTCTTATTCCTCCACATGTATATCTAAACACGTAACAAAAGACATGTCATTTAAACTAGAAGAAGAGGGTGTACCCTTTGGGAACGCATGCTACATTGAGCACCTTCGAAGGTGAATCTTGAATTGGTCGTAAGCGCTTCACTTTTGTCAGTGACACCATCTTCACACGTGCATCAAAAGGCGAGCATGAGCTATGGTGGCGGCGGCGGCAAGAGGTGGTCCCCAGATCGTAGTGGTGGCAATAGGAATGGCGGAAGCGTGGCTGTGGGCCAAGTGCGACGACTGAGATGAGGGCTAGGGTTTACCTCAAGTATAAAGGTGACACAGTCTGGTTCAACCAAGTGAAATGTGCGGCTCAGGTCCGGAATTGATCCAGGGGAAATAAACGCCATTTTGAAAAGTTTTTCCCTCCCAAACCAAGAGAAAGATTTAAAAACTGGTTGCGGTGTGTTGTGGCAAATATACTCGAATTCATAATGGTTCTCTGCCAATTTTCAAGTTGGCGGTGTCCAACAGCAAATTACACATTTCAACGGTGTCCATGAGCAAAATACGCCTTTAAATAAATAACAAACATAACTATCAGTATATATGTATATGTCATGGTCCCAATGAGGGCCCACCCTAGCGGGCCGAAAGGGCCAACCAGGGCCCAAGGCGGGGCGGCAACCCAGCAGAGGGCGCCCCCAGCACGCCGGCAGTAGGCACGACCAGGGGGGTGGCGCCCCACCTCCTCCACATTATCTGAAGTTTTAGGCAATTTAGGAAAATATAGATATTTAGGAAAAATAGATAAAGATTTTTTTTAGGAAAAGAAACTTAGAATTTGTTCAGAAAAGAGAGAGTTTGTCTTAGGAAAGGAGAATCTAAACCTATAAGAACTCCTTGCTAGATTGCTTTGTGTGCAAGTCCATTACAAACTATAAATATAGGGGCATTGTAACTATTCTAACTCAAGAAGGAAACAGAGTCTTGCTCTTTAAACAATTCTCCTCTCTCTCTCTCTCTCTCTCTCTCTCTCTCTCTAGCGCCGCTGCCACCCCTCTCCCGAGCCCGCATGCCGCTCACCGCACGCCACCATCCCTCTGCGCATGCCCCCCCTCCGCCGCCAACACCACCGCCCACCCCCTAGACACTGCCATAGGATCAGCACAGTATACCTAATTTATATACCCTAACAAAGCTAATCCTTACTAAATGTTCAATCTCTTCATGCAAGATGTCCATATTATTCCCCACTAAACGCCTCACTAACTTGCAATCTTTAATCTATCAATGTGCAAGTCATCTATATATGCTTTTTGTTTCATCATCCTATCATTCTATAATGTGATCTAATATTCTGTTAGCTTTTCTTCCATTATCTTACCATTGTTTACTAGATCCGATGCAATAAAATAACATGCAAGTGAAGCTCATATACACACAGATTACCCGGGGTACCATGTAGTGATGGTATATATATTACAAATTTATTTCTAAGAAAATCCCACGCCAATGCATGGGATATTTTTCTAGTAACATTAAATAGAGAAGAAATTCTTCCGAGAGTTACTTTTCATAATACCATCAGGTCACTCCCTATCATGTTCCCCTATGTGACCCGGACACATGACCTATGCTCATATGGGTTATAACTGTGCACTTCACGCATTTAGCAATGGCCCAGAGTTTGATTTTATAAATATATTGGAACAGATAATATCGTCGAATAAATCTTGGAGCCAAAAACTATTTAGATGATCACTCAATAAGTTACATGTTTTGTTGCACGTACGGATATGTTTGCTAGTAGGCAATAAAACAAATGACCATAAATAAGTAAATTCTAAATAACTCTAAATAAATTACCAACAAATAGATAATATTTTTAAGAAAAAGTACTACTCCCTTCATTCTAAATTATAAGACGTTTTAATTTTAATTTTTGCTATGCACTTACATTATTTCTAGATACATAATAAACGTCATGTATCTACAAAAGACGAAACGTCTTTTAATTTGGAACAAAGTGAGTAGCTTCATATTTTTCTCGTTAAAATAAACTAGTTATTAATTCTTATAGATTAAACTAGATTTTTATTATTTGTAGAAAACAAAAACCACACAAGAAATTACTTTGTGCATATATTCCGGTAATCTGCTGCCGATGCATTGAATAGTGTGTTCTACAGATATTGACGCTATTAGCCGTCAGCGATATATATATAGAATATATTGAAGAGCAGGTAACCCGTAACTGCTACTGGCTAGATCCACGTATCAGAGTGAGCCAGGCAAAAAGTAAAGTGCTGCTCCGAGCATCCGGTGTACAACTGTACATACCGCGGCATGGATCGCGTGTTGAAGCAGGTTGATTTCTGATCCGCGAATCCCACTGCCGCCACACGCCACCGCCACTGATTTTTGGCTGTTCCGCCGGGCAAACTCGCCACCAATTGCCACCTCAGTGTGATGCTAGCAGCTTTTTGTATCTTTCCTGTTGTTTGAACGGCGCCTGGCGACGCGACAGTTCCAGCGCACGTCACCCTAATTGTTTTGTTATGTTGAGATTAGCGCTTGCTGAATGTGCGATCCATCGTGTGGTCGGCTGGTCGCACCTCTCCTCCATGTTCCATGCCGTCTCGGCTGCAAAGGATCATAAACAAATATGTTTGCTTTTTATACGATAGGAGCAGGAATACATAAGACGACTCCGTGAGAAGATCGTGAATCTGATCGGTGTGTAGGACGTTGCCCTGCTCGTCTGGTCAGCCGCACAGCAAGCCACCGCAAGTCGTCGCGGTACTCAAGTGAGATCGGGTCGGGGATTCGGGATCAGGTGAGGGCGATCGAGGACCGCCCGTGCGGGCCGCGGCTGCCGACATGGACGAAGATGCGGCAATCGAGGGCGGGCAGCTCGCGCCTCTTCTCGGAAACCGAAGTGCGGCCTCGCCGTCGCCGGACGCGTCCCTGCTCCGCCGCCTCTACGCCGGCCACGCCCTCGCTAGATGGGGCACCAGGTGCGTTCACTCCGTAATCAGTTACGTACCTTTCATTCCTCCTCGAGTTTTCAGATCAGCGCCTGTTTCTTTTTCCTTCGTTTTTTTTTTCTCACTCTCTATTTCAGCTTCCGACAATCTCCTTGTTGCTACCATGGATTATAAACCACGCATATATGGATATATAATAAATAATACTACTAATAGTCAGATTATCTTGTGGTTTTCCGGTGGCAAATTAAGGATGTGGGAGTTCTCAGTTGGGCTGTACATGATCCGCATCTGGCCAGGCTCGCTGCTCTTCACGGCGATCTACGGCGTCGTCGAGTCGTCCTCCGTCGCCGTGTTTGGTCCCATAGTTGGGACGCTGGTCGATAAGCTCACGTACCTTCAGGTCAGCCATGCATCATTCGCCATGTTCATCAAACTACTACTCCTCGCGTTCAAAATTATATATGTACATGGTTTATTTGTTTTCTTAGGGCAACTTCAGCGGTGATCTCAAAATAGGTTCTCTATTTCCCCTGCTTTTGAGGTTTTCTGTTTTTCAAACTCCACTCCAGGAGACCTCAAAAAAGGGTCCTCAAATTCATTCTTAGAAGAAACGACACATGAGACCTACACGTCATCCACTTTCTTTATCTTCTTCCCCGTTGAGAGGAACTCGGCCATGTATTGGCAACGGAAGAGAAGAGCCACCGAGGGAGGGGTGTAGCGAGGGAGGGGCTCGTCTGGGTGCTCGACGGAGGAGAGGAGCCGCCAAGAGACGGGTGCTCGACAGAGGAGGCAAACCATTGGCCCCTCAACGGAGGAGCGGGAAGGGTGTCACGAGGCGTAGATGAGCCACGAGGATGCAGTCGTGAGGGCCAGCTCCTCAATGGAGGAGCGGGGAGGGCGTCACGAGGCATCGAGAAGCTGCGGGGAGGGAGCCACGAGGGCCGGCCCCTCGACAAAGGAGTGGGAAGGGCATCGTGAGGCGTCGAGGAGCCACGGGGATGAAGTCACGAGGGCCGCCAGGGAGTGATCTATAGGAGACGCCTAGCTAGGATGGAGGAGCCTCCCAGGTGGCGGAGAGGAACCTGACAGGGTTGGGTGAGCATGGAAGGTCGAGCAAGTGCGAGCGAAAAAGCCTGCGCGCAAGCGAAAACCGTCAAAAATGGAAAAGTTAGCACTCCCTCCAGACCCTCCGAAGAATGAGGGTTCGAGAGAAAGATTTGAAGGTCTCCTACTTTTAAAGGCCGGAGTAAGGTCGTGAGTATTTTGCTCCCTCCCCTCTCCTCATCCCTCAAAACAGGAAGAGGACTCAAATAGAGGCCTCCTAGAGTTGCTCTAATTAAAACAACCTTCTGGCGGACAAATACAATATTTTAAATAATTTTGTGGCACATAAATGTTATATTATGTTAAAAATAATTTATTATAGTATAGTATTTATTATATATAGTATAGTGTTGTATACATCATCGCATAAAAAATATACTATTAATAGAGTAACTATCGGAGGGAGTAGTTGTGGGCACTCGTTGACAAGCTCACATACCTTCAAGGCAGCCATCATTCGCCATGTTTACCAACCTACTGCTCCTTGTTTAGAGGGTGATGTTGCAATGGAAAAAAATAATAAGACTATAATATTTAAAGCTTGAACGAGCACACCATGTTTATAGTATGATGTTCTAGAAGATCATATGTAGATAACCATCACTATCATATGAGAAAGCTAATTAAATTAACTAATACTGAGAGAGGTTGTAAGTTGTATTTAATACATTTGAATGGTATGGTACGTATTGCATACGCATACAACTTAGTCACATAGACACTCAGACACACTCCATCAGTTAGCCGCTCAACACTCAGTCATTCAATCAACCACTCTTGCCACTCTGCAATCAGTCAGTCACTTGACCACACTAAGAGACTCAGCGGCTTAGTTTGTCATGCATTCGACCACTCAACCACTTGGCACTCAACACTCATGCACTCTGATACTCAGTCACCCAAACAATTAGCCACTCGGTCACTTAGTCAGCAACTCGACGGTCAGCCACTTGGCACTCAACCACTCATGCACTCGGATACTCGGTTACTCAGAGACTCAGCCACCCAGGCGTAGAGACAGTCGGTCACTCGACACTCAGCCACTTGGCACTGAACCACTCGTGCACTCAGACTCTTGGCCATTTAGCCATTGAGCCACTTGGTTACTCAGCCACTCGGCCTGTCAGGCAGTTAGACACACCACACTCAATCACTCGGCACTCAGCCACTTAGTAAGTCGAACACTCAGTCACTCAACCACTCCTTACTTAGAGCAACTCCAAGAGACTTGGTAAAATTAGATGTTAAATTGTGAGATTTAGCCATTATGTAAAATAGAAAGCCCATCTAAAATGTAGAGTTTTACAACAGCCTAGCTAAATTGAAAAAACACATATAGCTAGCAGGACTCGCTAGGGAAATATGGTCAGTGAGAATGGTGGGATAGTCAGCTAGGAAAAATGGAAACAATATAGACAAGCTGTTGGAATGCTTTTTGGACCACAATAGCTATATATGGCTTCACGAATATATTTACCTAGATCCTCTTAGTCACTATTCCTTGTAGTGCTTTTCTCCATTCCATGAGTCTAGGAAATAAAACAGAATCACAAACAATAGGAATAATGGTATAAGATTTTTGTTTTGTCAGAACATAACTAGGCACATGTTTCATTGAGAGAAAGATAAGAAATAGAGTTTTGCAAGAGGTAGGGCAGCAGCACTCGGGTTTAACTTACAAAGACAGTTTGAGCGACACAACGATAATCAGTCACTTCCTATGACACTTGTATATCCCTCCTAGCAAGCAATTAATAACCAATGAAAAAATTGCAGGTCCTTGGCCTGTGGCTGTTAGTCCAAAGCCTGTCCTTCATCATCGCCGGAGCCTCAGTAACCGCCCTGCTTGTTTACGACGACCTGAAAGCCACAAGCTTCCCTGTTTTCATGGCGCTGGTCATCGTGACCAACGTGTCAGGTGCGCTAGCAGCGCTCTCAACACTTGCCGGAACCATACTGATCGAGAGAGAATGGTACGGTAATATCTAACTACTAGCTTCTTATATATCTGTCCTGAATCCTGACCCACAAGTTGATCGAGTTGTTGCATTGCCGCAGGGTGGTGGTGATCTCGAGCAGGCACCCTCCTGCAGTGCTGACGGGGATCAACTCGGTGGTCCGGCGGATCGACCTGAGCTGCAAGCTGCTGGCCCCTGTCTTCTCCGGCCTCGTCATCAGCTTCGTGTCGGCGCAGGCCTCCGCGGCAGCTCTGGCGGTGTGGAACGTCGCCTCGGTGGGGCTGGAATACTGGCTCTTAGTCTCTGTGTACAATGGCGTGCCTGCGCTCGCTGAGAGCAGCCGGCTGAGAACAGCTGATGCAACAGAGGCCATGTTGATGTCGTCGTCGTCGTCGGAGATCGTGTCACCGGCCGATAAGGAGCTGGATTGGAGGGTTAGGATGTCGGAGCAGCTATCCATCATACCATGCTGGGAGTCATGGGTGGTGTACCTGAGGCAGGACGTGGCGCTCCCAGGCGTCGCTCTCGCCTTGCTCTACTTCACCGTCCTGAGGTAAAGCTACCTCTTCTCTTTCGTTATTATGAAATTCTATTGCCGCTAGTTGCAATAGCAGAATCTATCTGGCCAACAACCGATTGTTTTAGCCTCTTTTAACAACTAGATTTTTCTCATGCAGCTATATTTACACCGCCTCATTACCATATTTAAAATAATTTTTTCAGTGCAATTTATTGGACAGAGTGATGTAAGTTGAGAATAACACAAATATATACCAAATTTTAAAAAAAAATATAAATTATTTCTATGGATTCCAGACATCAGAGAAATATATATCAAATTATTCACAAATTTTATCAAATTGTTTACAAATTAAGCATAAACACAATGGAAGAATAGAGAGCAGATCTCGTCTTCAAGCGGCAGAACAAGGAGCACACATGCATGATCACGTCGTACAGCGGCATCACGGGGGAGCCAGCCGGCCGACCAGCTTTAGTTCACTGACCGATCGGTAGATTAGCTTCGTAATGAAGGGTGCTCAGGTTTGTTAAGACGGCCTAGCTAGCCCTGCCCTGCCTTGCCCTGCTATCACTTGGTGGATATCGATATCGCGCTTTTCCATGGCAGTTGACGAGTACTACGCGTTCTAGCTAGCTTTTGACCGGAGCTAATCTAAGCTACTAGCTGGAGCGGAGCGGCTGCCCGCGCGCGCTTTGCGTGGTGGTCGAACCGCGCTGCACGCACGCAAGCGTCGGATCGGATCATCGAACGCTCAGAAATCAGGTTACTGGAGGCCAACAAAATAACCGGTTGTGAGATGCAATAACGTAACCCAGCTTAAATTCTGTCTGATTAACGCAAAGAGTAATGAAATGCTGTATGTGCTGGTTTTGCAGTTTTGGCACGTTGATGACGGCGACCCTGGACTGGAAAGGCATACCTGCGTACGTCATCAGTTTGGCAAGGGGTTTCAGCGCCATCGTCGGCATCGGCGCAACGCTGCTGTACCCTGTGGTGCACTCATGGGTGTCCACGCTACGAACAGGACTATGGTCCATTTGGATGCAGGTACTAGTATGCAATAATGCACAGCGCGACATACAAACTAAGCATCAGGTTTCAGTGAATTTAACTGCTGCTGGACCTTGCTCTGCGGCCAGTGGTGCTGCCTGCTGGTGTGCGTGGCCTCCATCTGGGCGGCCAGCGACGTGGCGTCGGCGTGGATGCTGATGGCCGGCGTCGCCGCGTCGCGCCTAGGGCTCTGGATGTTCGACCTCGCCGTGATGCAGCTGATGCAGGACGGCGTGCCGGACCACGAGCGGTGCGTGGTGGGTGGGGTGCAGAATTCGCTGCAGTCCGTGTTCGACCTGCTCACCTATGTCATGGGCATCATCATCTCCGATCCCAGGGTGAGTGCCATTGCCATGAACGACGACTACTAGATGCTGTAACTACTAGTACTAGGCATGAATTGACATGCTCCGTATATACAAAGAAGGGAAGAAGGTGATGGTTGGTCCCATTAATTTTGAGCAGGATTTCAGCGAGCTGATCGTGCTGTCGTTCTTCCTGGTGACCTGCGCTGCAGCCATGTACACGCTGCACGTCTACCGCGTGCGCAAGCACCTCTTCCACTTCGACAAGATCCTCTCCAAGATCAGCTGGTGAGCGACCTGGCACGCACCATATGCCTGAGTAGAGTACCTTATACTTTACCAGTTATACCGATTGATGAGTTCCTGACTCTCTTGTTCTTATCCCTGTCTGCTGTCCGATGCAGGAACAAAGTTTCATGAATTGATTATATGGGCAGTTGGCAAAGCAGATATATCCTTGCTCCTGGCAATTGTAAATTGCTGATTTGACACTGGTTTTGAAACAACCGAAACGGAGTATACTGGCTGCTCTTGTAAACAGTTGTGTTTTTTTCCCTCTTCTGGTGTGCAGAAAATCGTGTAATCTATCTAGGAACATTTTTATCAAGTATCAACTGTAGGTGAACTGGAATTTCCTAAACAAGCGTTGGGACTGAAGGATTTTAATCCAAAGGTGGTGTGATTAGACTTTTGTGAAAATGTGGGCTTTAGGGCACGTTTGGGTTGATCCCAAACCTCGGCGCAACGTGCCCCACACTCTCTGCATCGTAGATGAGGCAAGTGTTTGGTTCCCTCCCGCAATTGTGGCGTGCCATAGACGTGCCGCACTCCTGCAGTTCATTTTCGCGCCACGTTGTGCCAAATGTGCTGCGGCCAAATTTGGCGCCGTAGTTCCGGCATGGCCGCAGTTGAGGTGCGGCATCCCGCTGCAAGAACCAAACGTGCCCTTAAAGTTATAATGAGTAAATGGGCCAATACTTCCGAACCAAGAAAAGTCTTAGGCAAGATGATCCTGTCACCGATCTTGTTCAACATTTTTGTGGATAATTAAGCTATCATCTTATCTAGAGCTAAGGAGGAAGGCCAAATAAAATAAGTCATTCCAAACCTAAGTGGAAAATAGCTTGTCAATTTTGCAATATGCAGATGACAACATTTTTTTTATGGATCATGATATTGAACAGGCAAAGAATATTAAGTTGTTTCTTTGGACTTTTGAACAATTATCAGATCTAAAAATTGACTTTCATAAAAGTGAACTATTCTGCTTTGGCCAATGAACGAGTATGATGACCAGTAATCTAACGGTTGATTTCTGAATAATGCTCCTGTACCATGCAAAAGAAAAACAAACTCATGGGATTTCTAAAGCTGCTTTAATTGGAAGACTCAATCATGCCAAACCATCATCAAGTGTGCAAATGGAAAACATTTGTTATTGATCCAAGCTCACTTCCATGGCCAGGCTCTCGGATCTCGGCTTCGATCCAGGAATGGAGTTTGAAAAACCGGTGTCCCAACGTTTCAAGTGCTCAGTGAGTCCCTTCCCCTCTCCCCATGAAGCCGTTTTTCTTAGTGGCTAGTTTTGACCGCTCTGCGGTTTGTCTCTATGAGGAGTCCGTGGGTCTCCTCCAATCTTGCCTCGGTGGAATGACAAAAGATTTTCATGTGGTGCACCTCTCTAGGTGGATGTACCGTTTGTCCATCTCTTGCAAAGATGTGGGTTTCATGGTTTACAAGTTAAAGCATTTCATTTGCAACATTTTTATTGTCTTCATTCATTGGGTTGAAGGAGGCCCCAATTGGCGCAAAGACTTTGATCTCTGGTGCCTAGAACAATAGTCTGAGTGGACCAGAGTCGGTTCAAAATCCAGAAAACCTTCGCTGAGGCTGTCCGATCTACTCCGGTCTCGTGTCGATCTGTTTTCTTGCGCCTCAATTACCCTGCAGATTATCCAAAGAATTTTGATGTGGATCCCTCTGATCTCCCAAAAATCAAGTTGAGTTCTTCCTCCATGCGGCCATCACGGCCTGTTCTTCACTGGGCTCCTAAATGCTTAGCGCCTTCTCCGGCGGAGCCCGTGGCGGTTCCCCCTGGTTTCAAATTCAAATTCAACACTGCATGGCCCCTCCCTTGGCTCAGCGGCTCACTCGGTCCCAGCCAGGCTCCCCCTCAGCACACAAGGTCCCTACCGAGGCCCACCTCCTCTGTTCAAAGTGCTTGGGCCCTAGTCATTCAAGGAAAGGTTGCTCTAATACAGTAAGATGCAAGATAATGGGTGCTTTTGTGACGTTATGTTGCTGTGTTGATGCTAAACCTATATGGACATCTTAATTTATGTGGCTGTTGATGCGAGACCTATGGACATCATAATTTATGTTCCTATTGATGCCAAGCTGAACTGTGGGCATCTAAAACTATATGTATGGCATGTGGATGATGACACATTGATGCTATATATTTGTGTTCTAGTTGAGAACATTATAGAATCATATATATGATGTTTGTGGATACTATTATCATGAATGAATTATTGTATGAAATTGTACATAAATGAGGTCCTTCTGTAGAGAAGTATTCTGTCGGTGTCAATAGCAAAATCTGATGGTTGCAAGGACAAGGAAACATATTTCCTCCCAGATGTATAAATTTTTTTGTCGGTAGAACGTCGATGAGAAAATAACAATTTCCTGTTGGGCTAACGTTCATGGGAAAACAAACATTTTCCTGTCGGGCAAAGGTTGTATTTCTGGCGGTTGGAAATCGACAGTAAAATCATTTTCTGTCACTACATCACATTTTCCTGTCGACTTCAGACAGCAAAGATAGAATTCTAGACCTGATGGCTAACAACTTTCCTGTCGACAACGTATCGACAAAAAATTGGTACACTGACAAAAAAATTCGTCCACCGACAAGAATATTGTATTTTTTCCTACAAACCGTATCGACAAAACGGTCGACAACGTGGCGGCAAGTTTAAAAAAATAGAAAGCCTGTTTGGAGAAGCTGTTGCGGGACTTTTAAATCTAGAAGGCTAAATTATTTTAGAGAGCCAATTGAGCTATCTAAATTTACCTAGGCTCTTGAAGTTGCTCTTATAATTTGAAATGGATGGAGTATAATATAGATAGATACTCCAAGTGGTGCATAGTAATCAAGAACCGTCTTCTTCTCCTGGAATATTTCCTGTTGTCATCTTGCTAAGCTTCCAAGCTGAGCAGCATCGAATCCCAGGCGGCTGTACCACACAAGGTTCTATGTCCATCAGCCTGTTCGGTTGGCTGGTTCGTGAAGAAGTACTGTTGGTTGGTTTGTGTGAGAGAAAAATATTGTTTTGGCTGGAAATTTACGATCGTTTACGACAAGCCACGGACAAACGAACAGGCCGTAGACTCTCAGTCTTGCCGTCCTCGCAAACATTTCCCAACACCCTCACGGTTCCGTTCCAAGTGCTCATTTCTGCTTCTACCAACAAAATCGCCGGCCTTGTACGGTTTAATCAATTTGCACACACGAACTGTAATCCAAAAGCCTGCCGTCTCTAACAATGAGTGAATACACATACACGCACGTTAATCTTGTCTTGTATAAAAGGACGCCATGGATGCACATGCAAACTACATTAGAGCAAACCGGCAGCAATGATGGAAAGCTTCTACTTCAAGCTGTCATTGCTCGGCATTCTTACTCCCTGTGTTCTCCTTGCTACTTCAATCGTTGCCAAGACGACCGGCGATGACGAGCTCCGCACGTTCATCGTCCACGTACAGCCGCCGGGGAAGCACGTGTTCGCCATACCAGACGACCGGACGGCGTGGTACAGGTCGTTCCTCCCTGAGGACGGCCGGCTTCTGCACGCCTACCACCACGTCGCCAGCGGCTTTGCCGCCCGGCTGACGCAGCGGGATCTCGACGTGCTGTCTGTCACGCCAGGCTTCCTCGCGGCGCAGTCGAACGTGGCTTATGAGCTGCTGACGACGCACACGCCTCGGTTCCTCGGGCTGGACGTGCCAGTGCCACAGGAGGGCGTGAGCGCCATAAACCACAGTGCTTCTGGGTTTGGGGACGGCGTCATCATCGGCGTGCTCGACACCGGTATCTTTCCCTACCACCCATCGTACAGCGGCGACGGCATGCCGCCGCCGCCGGCAAAGTGGAAGGGTCGATGCGACTTCAACGGCTCCGCGTGCAACAACAAGCTCATAGGCGCGCGGTCTTTCGAGTCCGACCCCTCACCGCTCGACATGGACGGCCACGGCACGCACACGTCGAGCACCGCTGCGGGGGCGGTCGTGCATGGAGCCCAGGTGCTCGGCCAGGGCCGCGGCACCGCTTCAGGGATAGCGTCACGCGCTCACGTCGCCATGTACAAGCCGTGCGGGACGAGTGCACCAGTGCCGCGATGCTCGCCGGCATCGACGCGGCCGTGGGTGACGGCTGTGACGTTCTCTCCATATCTCTCCGCGATACCTCGTCGGTGTCGGACACACCGTTCTACCAAGACAGCCTCGCGATTGGTACGTATGGCGCCGTAGAGAAGGGCATCTTCGTCAGCATCTCAGCCGGCAACAGCGGTCCAAATGCCAGCACGCTGTTCAACGACGCGCCGTGGATGCTCACCGTCGCGGCGAGCACCATGGACCGTTTGATCGGTTCCCAGGTGCGTCTCGGTAACGGCCTCTCGTTTGACGGGGAGTCGTTGTACCAGCCAGAAATCTCGGCGGCCGTCTTCTACCCGCTGGTCTACGCGGGAGCCAGCTCGACAGCCGACGCACAGTTCTGCGGCAACGATTCGCTGGACGGCTTCGACGTCAAGGGCAAGATCGTGCTCTGTGACCGTGGCAATGACGTCAGGAGGGTTGACAAAGGTGCCGAGGTGAAACGAGCAGGAGGCATCAGCATGATCATGGCCAACGAGTTCTCCAACGGTTACAGCACACTCGCTGACGTCCACGTCCTCCCAGCTTCGCATGTCAGCTACGCTGCCGGAGCCGCCATCAAGAAGTACATCAACTCCACGGCGAACCCGATAGCGCAGATCTTCTTTCGGGGCACGGTTCTCGGCGCGTCGCCGGCCCCGGCCATCACTTCCTTCTCCTCCCGCGAACCGAGCCAGCGCAATCCCGGCATCTTGAAACCCGACATCACGGGGCCCGGCGTGAGCGTACTCGCGGCTTGGCCGACCCAGGTCGTCGGCCCTCCATCTTCGTCGGTGAATTCCGGACCGACCTTCAACTTTGATTCTGGCACGTCCATGTCGGCACCGCACCTAGCCGGCGTCGCGGCACTGATCAAGAGCAAGCACCCGGACTGGTCACCGGCGGCGATCAGGTCCGCTATTGTGACAACCGCCGACCCCATCGACCGCTCCGGAAACCCGATACTGAACGAGCAACATATGCCAGCCGACTTCTTC